TTTTTATCAGGTTGAGGTAAAGACCATCTATTCCAATTTTCTGTAGGATTTTTATCATGAATGGCTATTGGATTTTGTCAAATGCTTTTTTTGCATCTGTTGAGATGATCATGTGATTTTTGTCCTAACCTCTGTTTATATGATGTATTACATGTATTGATTTGCTTATATGAACCATCCCTGTATCTCTGGTATGAATCCTACTTGGTCATGATGTATAATCTTTTTGACTATTTGCTGCCTTCTGTTTGCTAGTATTTTATTGAAGATTTTTGTGTCTGTATTCCTTAGAGAGACTGGCCTGTAGTTTTCTTTTTGATTGGGTTGTTTTCTGGTTTTAAAATAAGGGTAATACTTGCTTCCAAGAATGGTCTTAGACAGGCTTTAATAAATGAAGAAATATAATTAGAAATCCTGTCCAGGAGTGAGAAAGTTCTGAAACACTTAGGTAAATAGCAGTTTGCCCCCCACCCCCACTACAAAACCATGAGTGTTGGGGAGACCCAAAAATACACAGTTCATTTTGGGGGAGTAAAGGGGAGAAATAGTCTGCCAAAAAAAAAAAAAACAGCAGAAGATATAGCTAATAGTGTATCAGGAATTAAAACCTCTATTACTCACACCACTCTGCTTGGTTGGAACTTGTTCTATACTAGTTTATATACAAGCACTGTATCCGAGGGCACAGACAGCTGTCCCGAAGATATCAGGACATAGCACAGTGGTCATCTTTAATTTCCTATTAACTCAGTCAGGATCCCTGTATGACTTGTACTGTTGTATCATGACTGATCTTAGTTAAATCTGATTTGTTCGATTTGCTGCTTATTATTGACAGATTTTATTCAAAACTGTTAGGTTGCTGGTCTTAAGTTGAGGAGTATAGACAACTATACTGAAAATGACAGTGATTCACCATGATATCCATTCTGATTTGATTACTACCTGTTTTTGTAGCTCTACACTATCTACAAAGTTGTATTTTTGTTAATCCTGTTGGGTACTGATATGTTCAAGTATACTTTATCTGATGATATTGCAAATTCTGTTGATGATAACAAGAAACAGCACAGTGACCATGGTAGAACTTCTTATACAGCAGTTTTATATCTTTTTAGTTTTATGTGTCTATAGGAAAAAGTTTAGTTCTGTCCTACTTTGTTCTGTTTCTCTAATATAGAAAGAATAGAAATACATGTTAAGATTCATGCTTGCGTAAAACCTATAAACAGTTTATGAGAACTAATCTTATGACACATGATGAAATGAGCAAATACATTGAAGGAAAGAAAGGGGCACTGCAGTACCCAGTGCTGATTCTGGAGTATTATGATGTGAAATCCAGCAATATTATTAATCTTTGTTCAGAAGGATTTTAATCTAATAAGTTTTATTAGGTCTCAACATAAATGAAGATATGGATAAATGCGTACATGTCTAAGTGTATGGGACTGATAACCATAATACTTAGTTTTTGTTGGATAGTTGAACAGAACTGTTTGCAGTCTACCTGGTTGAATTCCCATTTATATGTTCCACTTTTGTATCTTGAACAACTATTTGTGGGGGAACAATATATATACATCAACTAGTGATTTATTACTGTTTATTTCTTTTCTTTGAAAGTATGTACTATTTTTGCCCATTTTCTATTTTGTTTTGTCTTTCTTTAAATTGAAAAAAAAGAATGGTCTTAGAAATATTGCTTCCCTTTCACTTTCCTTGAATAGTTTTAGCATTAGTAACATTAATTCTTCTTTAAATTTCTTATAAAATTCAGCAAAGAATCTGTCAGGACCTGGGCTTTTCTTTTTGGTAAATTTTTATTTACACTTTGAATTTTGATGGCTGATAACAGGTTATTTAGAATTTTTATATCTTCTTAATTAGCTTTGGCAATTCAGTTGTATCTAGGAATCTATTTCTTTGGTGTTTTTCATCATATTAGAATATAGGTTCTGATACTAGGCATTGATGATCTTCTGGATTTCTGAGGATCCATAGTAATTTTCCCCCTCTGCATTCCTAATTGCTTAAATTTGTTTTTTTCTTACCTCTTTTTGATGAGGTTAGCTAGTGGTTTATCAATTTTATTCTTTTAAAGAACCAACTTTTCAATTCATTCATTCTTTGTATAGTTTCTTAGTCTCAATTGCATTAATTTCTGCTCTTTATAATTTTATCCTTTGTACGAGCTTTGGGTTTTATTTGTTCTTTTTATAGAAGTTCGAGGTTCAGCATTAGGTTGTTTCCTTGAGCTCATTCTGTTTTCCTGATGTGAGAGTTCCTCACTATAAATTTCCCTCATAGGACTGCTTTCAATGCATCCGTAAGTTCCGGTATGTTGCATCAGTATTATCATTTAATTGTACATATTGTTTTATTTTGTCTTTAATTTCCTTGTAACCCATTATTTGTTTGGAAGGGTATTGTTTAATTTCCATTTATTTATGTAGTTTTTATGGTTTCTTTTGTTACTGATTTCTAGTTTCATTGTGCTATAGTCACATAGTGTGCACAGGATGATTTCAATTCCTCTACATGTACTAAAAACATATTTTCTGGTCTATATTTACAGAACTTCCCATGTGCAGTCCAGAAGAATGTGTATTCTGATGTTTTGGGGTGGAACACTGTAGATATCTACGAGGTCCATTTGATCACAGGCTTGGTTTAATTCTGATATTTCTTTGTTGATTTTTGGTCTGGTTGATCTGTTTTTGAGAGTGGAGTATTGAGGTCCCCCACCACAATTGTGTTAGTGCTTATTTGGCTTTTCATGTCTTTTAGTATTTGGTTTATGGAATCTGGTGCATTCCTGTTTTATGTGTATATATTTATGATTGTTTTCTCTCCTTTTTGGAGTTTTCTCTTAACAAGTATATAGTGACCTTCTTTGTCTCTTTTAATCAGTCTTGGCTTAAAGTTTTTATTGTCTGCAAGTAAAATACCTACTCCTACTTTTTCTTGGTTCCTGTAACATGGTGAATTGTTTTTCCATCTTTTGACTTCTTAATTTATGAATTTTTGAATTAAATGTATTTCTTGAATGCAGCATATTGTTGGATCTTGTTTCTTGATCCATTCTGCCGGTCTGTTTCTTTTGATTGATGAATTGTGACCATTTACATTGATGGTTTTAAATGATATGTATTGAGTTATCTCTTTCATGTGATTTTCCAATTGTTGGTTCCCTGTCTTTCTCCTCTGTTTAATTGGTTGCCCTACCTAGCTGCTTCTTTCTATTGGTGTTCATGTGTTTGCAGTCTTCATTATCTCTTTCTTATATATCCTTCAGAGCATTCTGTAGAGCTGGTTTGGTGGTCATACATTCCTTCAGCTGTTCTTTGTCATGGAAGTATCTTTTATTTTCAGTGGATTTTGAAAGATAGTTTTGCACAGTTTATCAGTCTTGATTGAATATTGTTTTCTTTTGGGGCCTCAAATACTTCACTTTAAGCTCTCCTTGATTTGAGGTTTTATATTGAGAAGTCTACTGTGATTCTGATGTATTTTCCTTTATAAGTTTCTTTCTCTTGTCATTTTTAATAATATATTCTTGTCCTGAATTTCTGGAATCTTATTATGGGCCTTGCAGATTTATTTCAGTTGTGGCTATTTGGAGTTCTACATGCTTTGTTTATTTGCATGTCAAATTTTTTATCCATGTTTGGGAAGTTACTTGCCATTATTTCTGTGAAGAGTTTTTTGTGTCTTTTGCTCTGTCTACAGCTTTCTCAATCAGCCCAGTCAATGTTATGTTGTTGTTGTTTGCTTCATCTTGTAGCTGTTGGATTATTTTATGACCTCTTGCTATTTTTCAAGATACCTTTCTTTTCACACTTGCTAGCCACAATCCTGACTTCTAGATCTGATATTTCATCCTTGCCTTCATTCAGTCTGTTGCATATACTTTCAGTTGAATTTTTAGTCTCCTGTACTTCTGTTTGTATGTGTTTCAAGGATTCTGTTTCTTTCCTATGTTGTGCGATCATGCTTTCCATTGTTTTCTTGAGCTCCTCTAGCTTTTTATCTGTGTACTGGGATTTGTGCTGGGTATAGGGCTGACCTTAGTCTGTGGATGTGGAGACTGGGATTGGCGTTCTTTTGCTCAAGTTTTCCTCAGCTCTTTAGTATATACATTAAAAAGGGGAGGGGGAGAATGGCAGTCCCACCTCCCTCTTCTACTCTGCCTGTCCATGTACCAAAGCACAATACTGGCCATTCTGACTTACTGACTGCTGGTATGTGTGTCTATGCCCAGGTCTTGGGGGAGTTTCCTTCATGAGGCGGTCTGGACTCTGTGCAATCTGCCAGCACAGCCCCCATCACCACCACCACTGGTGCCTTGCTGGGTGACTGGGAGTCCCTACCTGGTACCATCTGGGCCATGTGCACCCTGCCACAGTTGCCACCCTTAGGGTACCTTGACTGGTGCTATCTGAAGACTAGCTAATTCACTTGGAGAGAACTGCTTTTGAAAATTCACACTTTTCTTGGGGGAATTCATATTGTTCCACTTTATTGCTTTAAATTCCCCTTCATTTCCTATAACAACATAAAATTTTGTGCTGATTCTACTTTTTGTTTTACAAATAAGTAATTGGCCATGTGCATTTTGCATTCCTGTTTTTAAATATATGTTGTATTTTCATAATTGCCAAATTTTGAATAATAGAATAATGTATACTGGATCTAATATTGATATTAAATATATAGTTATAAGATCTTTTAAATTTATTTTTATTGTATATACTCAAGGTATACAACATGTCTGCCAGTCATAAAATTATTTTAAAATTCATAAGGTAAAAATAGAAATAAGCTATTTTTATGTTATTCTAAATTTATTTATAGACTTCCAAAGTTAATTTGCTTCATGTAAATAATAACACTTTGATCACTTTTTAAAATTTAACTAGAGTTTTTTCAGACTTTTATAGGAAAACTGTGATTCAGTTTAGGAGATTAAGGAGAACTGTGTTCATATTTTTCTTAAGGAAAAAGAACGGTTGAAGCAAGAAAAACGTGATGAAAAAAGATTAAATAAAGAACGTAAATTAGAGCAACGAAGATTAGAATTAGAAATGGCAAAGGAACTAAAGAAGCCTAATGAAGACATGTGCTTAGCAGACCAAAAGGTAATTTATATATTCTGTTAGCCATTTCACTAATAGTTTAATTTTTCTAATTTTCTCACCTGATTTGCTTGTCAAAGCTGCCATTGTGAAAGCCCTTAATTTGTATCTAGAACAGTGTATTTGCCTCTCCTGGATAGCCAGCCACCAGTAAACCTCTCCGAAGTTCCTGTACTGATAACGGCAGTTTTCAATATATAATTGGAATACAACACAGCTTTCTAATATTAGTGGTCACACTAGAAATCTACAAAAATCAAACATAGAAGTAAATCATATGTCCATGTTTGTTTTGGTACTTCGAGGTATTTAGTCATAGAAAGATGTAACGCTACCTGCACTCCATAAATATTTAAATAAATTGAGATGCATAATCTATAACTGCTTATAGTTCTTTAGTAATGGCAGCTAATTTTTATAGAATGTCTTTACTCCATGTATCAGGAACTACACTAAGTGCCTTTGTGAACTCTCAATATATGATTTAGTCTAGTCTTCAACACAGTCCTACAGAGCTAGTATTTATCTCCATTTACAGATGTGAAAATTGAGACACACGAAGGTTAAGGAACTTGCCCATGATTAACAGTTAGCAATTTTTATTCAAAACTTTAAACTTTTGTAGTCCACATTGTTTATGATCCTGAATGCTGAGAAATTATGTCTAATCATAGAATTTGATATATTTTCACTCTTCTGTAGTATATTACAGATATGTAATATTGCTACAGTACATGAAAATAAAAATTTAAAAAGAAATAATCTTGACAACTAGCATACTTTTGAGTAGAAATCAGCTTTGTTTTGAGATACTTACTATGATGATACTTCCACAAATTATGTCAGTATTGCAGTATCACCTCTGCAGTACTCTGTATAATATAAATATATTATATTTGATCAGTAGCATCTATATTCATGTACCGCATTCATCTGTTATACAAATGATTATTGTCTTCCTGATTTATATAAGCTCCTTTCTAACGTTCTTAAAGCAAACTTTTAGTACCCTAGTACGTATTAAATTATATTAATATTCTATGTATTTACTTAGCATAAAAGCTTTCAGGTAAAAAATGAATATATACTATTTTTATTCATATAGATGTTTAAGTTTTCCAAGATAGTATGTAAGGTAGTTTACACATTCATAAAAGTGAACAAGTTTTTAAAATCCAAAGTGGGCTTTATTTTTTGTGCCTTTTATTTTTATTTAAATTTATATGCACTATTTCAAGTTTATAAGTCCATTTGAAGCCACACTTTTATTACCTTTGTTGTATAAATTTTTAGAATTGTATGGAAATGTGTGTCACTTATGGTTCAGAAAAAAAGAAGGCTCAGAACTGACTAGTATTCAAATGCAACATAAAATTTTGTAAGGTATCAGCTATTATCCCTACTTGTATGTTTCTATACAATATTAATAGAAAAATCTTTGGTTGGTTATTTGAATAAGTACAAGGTAGAGAAATATTCTTAAACAAGTACCAATTTAAATAAATAGAAATATTTATAAGTCACTCCTTTTTCCAATTAAAAGTTAAAGTACTTTCTTTGAATCTTATGCATGAAAAGAAGTTTTTAATTTAAATCAACTGTTTACTGAGTTTTTTAAATGTTTCTGATAAAGAATATTATAATTCAGCCACTAAAATGTTAGTGTGTGAGCATATTTGAGAAGTAGCAATAGAGTCAGTTTTCTAATTTTAATATTGCACTCATAGTACTGCTTCACTAAACTACAGAGTAAGATAAAAGCTTGTATGTAACTGGATTCATGTAGAGAATCATGAGTGTGGTAATAAGGACCTAATAATTAATAATCTACATTCATTAGTTGCAGTTGATACTTCTCTTTCCAATCATAAAGCCCACAGATCCATGCTGTTAGTTTATGAGTTACCAAAAAAAGTGTGAATTTTAAACATCTGCATCATTAGAAGAAATCAGTGCATGTGCTCAGTATGTCTGTAAAATGTTTCTTTTTTTCTTTCTTTCTTTCTGTTTTGTTGTTGTTGTTGTTTTTTGGTACCAGGGATTGAACTCACAATCTTGTGTTTGCCAAGCAGGCATTTACGCCACTGAGCAAAACCCCCAGCCCCTATTTATTTCTTACATAGTTTTTATCCAATAACCTATGTTTTATCAACATACAAGAATTAAAATTAGTTCTTTTAAGTTCAGTTTGAGTTCAATCAAAATTCATTATGGGTAACTGTGTTCAAGACACTGTGTACCAGGGAGGTTAGATAAATGCCCCTCAGAAACATACATCCAAGGGAAAATCCTCTAGTACAACACAAAAGAAAAAAACATAGCAGCTTATTTTACTTCCAAAGGTAGGAACTTTTAAATTGTTAAAATTATTTTAAATTTAATTTATATATTTCTTTTTTATTACTATTTTCAGCCTTTGCCAGATTTGCCTCGTATTCCAGGACTTGTTCTCTCCGGGAGTACATTTTCAGACTGTCTCATGGTGGTGCAGTTCTTACAAAACTTTGGTAAAGTTTTGGGCTTTGACGTGAATATTGACGTTCCAAACCTGAGTGTTCTTCAAGAGGGATTACTAAATATAGGGGACAGCATGGGTGAAGTACAAGACTTGCTTGTAAGGCTCCTCTCAGCTGCTGTATGTGATCCAGGTCTAATTACAGGATTGAAGGTAAAAATATATATGTATAAAAATCATTTTAAATTTGTACTTTCAGTGCATTTATAGCTAACTTCAACATATTAGCAGATTATAGAGACTGATCCAATATTTCTACATAATGTCTCAAAATTAAATGTAGATTTATATTAGGTCCACTTGGTGCAAACATAGAAGAACCTCATTATAAAGTTTAAGGAATGCACACCATTCTTAATTACTCTTTTTCCTCTAGCTGTAAGCAAAGACCAAGATGATTTAAGGAAATACTCAAATGGTAGTCATCAAAAGAAAATGCATAATTTATAAAGGAAGTAGAGCTTATTTGTGTACCTTTTGAAATTATACTTGTCTCACGTAATATCATAGGCTAATCAAAGAATCTACATACACATCATCCCATTAAGATTTTGTTATGCTCAGAAGATACCAAATTCAACTAAAGCCCAGTTACATTCCAATAGTTTTGCTCCAGATGATATTGTAGAAAGTGAAACTTCCAGCTTCAGATAATACTGAAGAGAGTAAAGCTTCCAGATATACTCTATTTCCTATCACTGTTTGTTCAGTGTACCAACCAGTAAAATCTACCATACTGCAAAGATAATAAACGTAGTAGTAATGTTTTTTCACTGCCCCCAAAATAAAGTGTCCAGATACTGTGAAGCTTGAGAAAAGCTTGAGACAATTTCTGTAGTACAAGAACCTTAATAGATGGCTTAAAATTTCTGCTGCTCATAAATATACATACTTTTCTTCTTGCTTGACTTAAAGCAAGATTTAAAGAAGAAAAACAATGTAAGTACTTGAATGTTTGTCTATAACCTGTAGCCTATTTTTATTTCCACTTCAAAATTGTGAATAAAGCCCTTGTCAGTAATACCTAGAATATATAAACTACTATTTTTAATTTATTGTTTTTATGTTATGAATGGTTATGACTAAGACTGATAAAAATGCCAAACTTTTATAGGCTAAAACAGCTCTGGGAGAACATTTGCTAAATGTTGGTGTGAATCGCGACAATGTTTCCGAGATTTTGCAGATTTTTATGGAAGCCAACTGTGGACAAACTGAGCTTACTGAAAGCCTGAAGACCAAAGCTTTTCAGGCTCACACTCCAGCCCAAAAAGCTTCAATCCTGGCTTTCCTGATTAATGAACTGGCATGTAGCAAGAGTGTAGTGAGGTAAGTGTATGCTCAGGCTTGCCTGATGAAGATTCTTTTGTTTTAAATTTGTCTAATCACAAAGGAATATGAATTGCTTACAGAAAATTTAGAAGTTATAGACTAGCAACAAGAAGAAAATTAAAATCATGCAACTGTATCATTCAAAGATGGCCACTAAAATAGTCTAGTGAATTTTTTGCAGTTTATTATTTTTAAAAGTTTAATGTATTTCCTTTATTCTGTTGCATTGCATAAGTGGAATAATTTATGTCTTCTTATAAATTTTTGTGTTGGCAGTGAAATTGACAAGAACATCGATTACATGTCAAATTTAAGGAGAGATAAATGGGTAGTAGAGGGCAAACTCCGCAAGTAAGTCCTATTTTATTAAAATTAATGAATTATTTTGTTTTGCATAAGTAGTGCGTAGGAATTGCAAAAAAAACAGAATTTAAATGTCACATTTCCTCAAGTAATTATAATGTTTAATTTGGATGGGATATGAAATTAAAATTAATGAATTTAATTTAATTTAATATGAAATTAGAATTAAAACTCAAGGCCAGATTTTACAACAGGCAAAAATATGAGATTCTCTGAGCTTATAAGCGTCAAATTTATGTAAAAAAAAAAGTTTCTCTTTTTTGAAGAAGCTAAACACATTTTCTAAGATTGTTGTTGCTGTCACGTTGCTTTATTCATAATTAGGACTTGCTCAGAACTACTACTTCTTTCTGTCAGTACTGAAGATTTAACGCAAGGCCTTTGCAATGAGTTATATCCCCAACCTTTTTTGGTTTATATTTTGACATAGGGTCTCACTATGTTACTGAGTTACCCAGGCTGGACTCAAACTTGAGATCTTCCTGCCTCAGGCTCCCAGAGTACAGGATCATAGGCATGCACTGCCATACATGGCCCCCTTTTTTCTTATTTACTTTCTAATTAAAATTGGCTTTTATAGTCTACCAGAATTACTTAACATTAAAACTGTCTGGAAATATGGCAAAATTACTAAACTTCTGTTTTAAAAAAATAGGGTTTTGTCCCATAATTTGGATTAAAATTTAGTCACATATTAAAGGGATCAGAAATTATATCATTTGGCTATTGTTAAAGTTAAGTCTTTTCAACTTCTAGAGTTGAATTTTAAAACATTGTTTTCATTGCCAAAAGACAAAATAACTTAAAAGTTAGTATATACTGAAATTTATGTATTTCTTAAATTCAGTTCTAATTTGTGTTGCCATTGATACATTGCTTGCCAGGAGAGAAGCATCATAAGTATTTTTGCTTAAAATTCATGTTATGCTCTTAAAAATATAAAGTAGCTTTTTACTCCACAATATCAATTTTTGTAATATTTAAAGGCTCAGAATCATTCATGCAAAGAAAACAGGTAAAAGAGATGCTTCCGGTGGTCTTGATCTTGGAGAAGAGCAACATCCCTTGGGCACCCCTACTCCAGGCCGCAAGCGGAGAAGGAAGGGAGGAGACAGTGACTATGATGATGATGATGATGATGATAGTGATGACCAAGCTGATGAAGATGATGAGGATGATGATGATAAAGATGACAAAAAAGGAAAGAAGACTGATATCTGTGAAGATGAGGTGATAAAGTTTATGTTGACTTTCAGAATGACTAGAATTGTGTAACATACTGAAAAATAATACAAATTTGGAATATACTCATTTTAATTTGAAATTACTTGTGGTTTTATTTGTTTTGTTTTATTTTTGCAGTATTGAGGATCGAATCAGGGCTGTCTACTACTGAACTACATTTCTAGTGCTTTATTTTTTATTTTGGGACAGTATTTCCCAAGATTGTCCAGGCTGGCCTTAAGTTTATAATCCTCCTGCTTCGGCTTCTTCCCTAATAGTTAGGATTTATAGGCTTGTACCAATGCACCTGACCTTGAATTCAGTTTTGCATTTACTTGCCTTAGTTTCTTCATCTGAAAAATGAATATGATATTACCATATTTAGCTCACACGTTTTTTGTGATGCATAGGTAAATGATGAATATCTTGCCTTTACATAGCAGTTTAGAATGAGTAAAAGAGCTATACAACTATGCATTTCATGATAACGTTTCAGGCAATGAGTAATCACATGACAGTGGTCTCATAAGATTATAGTGCATCATGACATTATGGTGATCTTCTTTTACATAAAAAATGTTCTATGTTTACATGACAAAATCATCTTACAGTATGCTTCTCAGATTGTAAACCCATTATTAAGTGACACATGACCATAATTACTTGAGGATTCTCCAAAGAACTATGCAATTTCTTAATTTCAGATATTCTCTTTCATTCTGTTAACATGTTATATTTGTAAAGTATTTCATGCCATTAAACGTATGAGAAGGCTTGTGCAGTAATGCAAGCTGTAATCCCAGCTACTAAAAAGGCTGAAGCAGTATAATCGAACGTTCAAGGCCAGCTTGGGCAATTTACCAAGTCCCTCTCTGAAAATAACATTGGAAAAAGGGTTGGGAATGTTAGCTCAGTGGCAGACCACTTGTCTAGCATGCGCAAGGCCTTGAGTTTCACCCCCAGTGCTGGAGGGAAGATGTATTTTTATGATTATTGAAATGATATATTTCTTAAATACTTATTATTCCCTAGTTGTAGACAATTTTCATCCAAATGAATAAAGCACAGAAGGTCTGTCAGTTAACAGTTTGCAAAAACAAAGTATAGCATGTTGACTGATTTGATAAGAAAGGGTATTTACAATATGCTAGATAGTTTCAGTAGCGGGGGGCATTTTGAATTTCTGAGGAATGAACTTTTACAAAGGGTTTCTGGACCCATTAACCTGGGCTTACAACCTGGAATAAATATTAAGCTGGGGAAGAGTAAGGGATTTTCCAGAGAATAACATGAAAAAGGGTACAGAGGTTTGAAAATACTGTTTGTTTTAAGGGAAGTACAAGTTCTTCATTATTACTGGTGGGTCTCACACTTTAAGAATGATGAATGAGGATTTTGTTTTATTTTTTAATGATAGGGCCTCAGTAAAGCATTAAAAAAAAAGTAGGATCACAATGATCAGACTTGGTTTTTATTTAAATGGCTTGCTCTGGCAGCCTTTTGGGATTAGAGACAGGATAGTGCCAGGTCAGAAGTGCAAGGATAAGTCATGAAGTGTTGTTAATAGTCTATGTGAGTTGTGAAGGGTCTGAACTAGAGCAGTAATAGTTTGGATGAAATAGGAAAACATTCAATAAATAGTAAGAAAGAAGAATTAGGAGGATTTAAAGATGGGCTATGTAAATCGGCTTTGATGGATGTATAGAATTGACTTCCAGCTATCTGGTTGAGAGACTGAATGTTACTGTTTTTTGTTAACTAAGATAGAGAAATCAGGAATAAATAGATAATTGGAGGTGTAAGGGTTATTAAGGAATGAGATACAATAAGACATGAAACGATGATAGATTCATTTTGTCTATGCCGAGTTGTAAGTACCTGTGTAGAAATTCAATAGTCAGTTGCATTTAGAAACTAGAAGCCTGTATAGTAGATAGATCTTGGAAACAACCCAAACGTCCACCAACTGAGGAATGGATTAAAGGTGGTCTTTTTATACAGTAGAGTACTACTCAACCATAAAGAAGGATAGTCTGAAGATTTTTATAAATGAATGTAACTCGAGACCATAGATACAAGAGAAATAAATCAGACCTAGGTGTTTATACATTGTATTGTGTCCCTAGTGTGAGAAGCTGAATGAATAAGATCCAAACTGTACAATAGATATTGTGAAATGAAACTGTTCAAAAGGAAAAGGAGAAAAGAAAGAAGTGAAAAGTAAAATAATCAAATACACATACATACGCATGATAGACTAATAATCTCTCTTAGTTTATTAAAAAAAAGATTTTTTGCTCATATTGTTTGGACAATTAAATGCCTATACTTTGTACACCAACTAACTAATTTAAAGATAGTAATATACACTGTATTAACCATACTTTCTCTCATATCATCTTGTTTTGAAATTTTATTTTTTTTTCTTTTAAATAAAAATTTTTAAAAAGAGAAAGAAACCTGAGGCCTGAAGAAGAGTTTAGTCCTAAAATTATAGACCAAGATGTTCTTACCACATGGACAATAGTTAAAATCATGAGGTAGATGAGTTCGCAATAGAGAGTTGTGTTATTGTATAAAATAGGGGACTGAGTTGGAGCATCCTAAGGTACTTATGTTGATTCTTGTTAAAGGAAGAGTCAGAGAGGTAGATTTCTGTAATGGGCCAACCTTATGGCTTTGAATTATTGCAACTAAAGAAAACAAAGCAAACTCAGCAAAGAGCAAATAGGGAAAAGTCCAGAGGAAATCAAGTGCAAGTGTCCAAGAGTTTTATGTCATGGAGAATCACACAGAATGGCCTTGCTTCCCCTTGCAGCAGCAACATATGTAAGGGGATTCATTATAGAGCCAGTGCCTCCTTTTATATTGAAGACTTCATGTATATTCCTTTTGCGTAGCATTGCTCAGTTGCTAGATTCTCTGAAGAAAAGTGTTTTGTATAAATCATATTGTTGGCCCAGAGGGTTTAGGTACAGTAAATCTGTTTCATCAATCACAAATTCCAAGTTCTTACATGCCAACCAAGGACCAACCTTCTAAGTAGGCCCTTCAAAGGATAGCAGTCTACTACGTTGTCTTTTCTATACATGTTTCAAAAAGGAGACAGTGACAAACAATGTTAAAGTGGCCGGAATCTAGGATGATAAGGACTGAGCATGTTTATTTGACCTAGCAACAGAGAGATCATTGGTAGCCAGTGCCAGCACAGTTTCATTAAAAGGGTGAGAGCAGACACCAGGCTAATAAGTGGTTAATGACAACAGACAGACAGGATGACTATTTCAAGGATTACACCTCAGAATAAAAGGTACTTCCTTTGAGAAAGAAGGCTCAGTATTTTTCAGATGTGAAAGCATTGAGACTATTTTTGGTTGAAGAGAATAAAATGAGAGAGAGAAAATGAATATTAAAGAAAATAGTTAATGGTACAAGGTTCTAAAACTATCAGAGAAGGCCACTTAAGGTGAAGGGAGTGAAGGAGACCCTTCAAAGAGTGAACCAGAGGGCGAAAGCAATGGTATATATCGATTTTTGTTTCATGTATGTTTAGAGAATGCTTCAGTAAGCCAGGGAAACGGACAGGCATAAAGGATGGAAGTTCATCTTTACCAGAAAGGAATGCAGGATGTATTGAAAGGGCTGTATACTAACCCTAAAAAAGCAGGGAAAAAAACCCTCAGCAAATCATGCTCTTCATTCTCAACATCAGGAGTATTTAGCAAAGCCATCTAGAAAGAACTCTTTTCCTTTCTTGTTTCAGTTCAGTCCTCCTAAAAGAATGAGGAAAGAAGGCTTAGGGAGATTAATCTGTTGATGAAATGTGTGAAAATAGTACCAGTTGGGACCAATTATATAATTACTAAATCAAATTTATGACTAAGTTTGAATATTATACCATGTACAAAATAATGTGCTATATACAGTTCTCTTTCTTACATAAAATAGCACAAATGCAAAATGTTCTCATAAATTCTTGCTTCCCAATGTAGTGTTTTAAACCAGAATGATAAAAATCACTAGAGTGAACTTTTCTCTTCAATTTCATTTTTTAATTTTGGTGAGAACTACCCTTTTAATAAATTTTTCATAGTATATAAAACAATGTTGTAGGGCCGGGGATTTAGCTTAGTGCCATAAGTGCCTGCCTGGCAAGTGCAAGGTTATGAGTTCGATCCCTAGTACAAAAAAAAAAAAAAAAAAAGACAAAAACAGTGTTGTTGACTGTATACATAACGTTTTTATAGAAACCCTAAAACATATGCATCTTAGGTAACTGAAACTTTCATATAAGATGAATAGTAACACTTTAATTTCTTCTTATCTCCACCTCTTGATAATCACCATTCTACTCTACACCTATGCGTTTGACTATTTTAGATACCCCTTACAATTGGAAAATTAGAATCATGTAGAATTTGGCCTTCTGTGACTGGCTTACTTCACTTAGCATAATATCTGCATTGTTCACTCCTCTTGTCCCATAGGGCAGCATTCCCTTCTTCTTTTTTTTTTTTTTTTTTTTTTTGCGGTACTGGGGATTGAACTCACCTTGCGCTTGCCAGGCAGGCGCTGAGCTAAATCCCCAGCCTTTTTTTTTTTTTTTCAGCATTCCCTTCTTTTTGAGTCCAGATTACTTACTTTCATTCGTGTGTGTGTGTGTGTGTGTGTGTGTGTGTGTGTATGTATGTGTGTGTAATTTTCCCCCTTTCTTGGTTTATTTCCCCGTCAGCTTTAAAGACTTGACCCAAAAATGGGCAACTGAATTGAATACACACTTCTCAGATGAAGAAGTACATACAGCAAATAAATATATGAGAAAATGTACAACATCGCTGGGCATTTGAATGATGCAAATTAAAACAATGCTCAGATTCCATCTCACCCCAGAAAGAATATTATATTTCCAAATAACAAGTTTAGTCATCTAAGTATTGTAATCCTCTTTAGTTTTTGTCACAATCCAAAAAGTAATATTTGTAACCTCATTGAAACATTATTGGAAT